TGCGGATGTGAATGTGTGCAGGTCCTTGCATGTGGCTGTGGCAGTGTTGGGTTGCATTCGTGACATCTCCAGGTCTGTCAGTCTTCATGAGTGTGTGTGAGGCTGTGATTGCTGGTGAGTGTGATACCCCAGGGTGACTGAGGAGTGGGGGGCACCAAGCAAGGGCACTTGCAGAGTATGCAGAGGCATACTCCTCTAGTTCTTCAATACTGCCTGTATCAAATATGGGAATTTACAAAAATAGTTATCTTATATCCGTGTAAGAATGTGTTTAATATAAATGTACAATGTAAATGATGACAAAATAACTCCCCCGTGTACAATCACTAAGCTGAATAAATAGAGCCTGACCAACAGTTAGAAGCCCTTGTGTGCCCCTCCCCATGGCAGCCCCTATGCCCCCATAGTCCTTATTCTGTATCTTCTGTCCATTAATCCCTTACTTTTGTTTGTAGCTTATCACATATGTGTAGCTCTCAAAACAATCCATTGTTTAGTTTTTTCTGCTTTTGAACATCAAAATGGAATCATACTGGGTGACTGGCTCCTTGCAGTCACTAGGGGTCACTAGGAAGTCCTCAGGGTGTCTGGTAGTCTCAGGCAGTCTGCAGTGAAATTCTGGAACTTGCCTTTTTTTTTTTTTGGCTCTACTTTGGTCCTGAGATTCATCCAAGTCTATGCATGTGGCTATAATTCATTTATTTTTGTTGCTGCATGATATCATATCCTATGAGGACGTCATGATTTATGATGCATTCTCAGTTTGTCAGTGGACATTGGGTTGTTTCCAGGCTTTTCTCCTCCTCGCCTTAAGCTATTATGAACAGTGCTGCCGCCATCTTTCATGAACTTGTGACCAGTAGTATATGTGCCAAAACTACTCTGGGGTGTAACATCCCAGGAGTGGGTCATAAGATGTATGCATTTTTTTAGATGTTGTTAAGCCGCACTTCAAAATTAATTTGCCAGTTTAATTCTCACCAGCATAGTATGAGAGTTCCCATTTTTCTGCATTCATATCAACAGTTTATATTATCATACTTTTTGACTTGGGTCAATCTTTTGATTATATTATGCATAGTATCTCACTGGCATTTCAATTTGCTTTCCCCTGCTTACTAATGAGGCTTTTAATTTAATTTTCTGTTTCATAAAGACAGAGTCTTCCTCTGTCATGCAGGCTGGAGTGCAGTGGTGTGATCTGAGCTTACTGTGACCTTGAGTTCCTGGAGTCAGGGGATCCTCCCACCTCATCTTCCCAAGTAGCTGGGACTATAGGCGTGTGCCCAGCTAATTTTTTGTTTTGTTTTGTTTTGTTTTGTTTTTTGTAGAGATAGGTCTTGCTATGTTAACTAGGCTGGTCTCAAACTCTTGGCCTCAAGTGATCCTGCCTTGGCCTCCCAAAGTGCTGGGATGACAGGCATGAACTACTACACCTGGCACAATTTTTCATATGTTTAGTAATCATTTTTGTGAAATAGGTGATCATGTATTTTTTCTGTTTCTGTATGAGTTTGTTTTTCTCTTACTACTTTTTAGGAATTCTCTGTATCTTCTGTGTGCTACTCTTTTTTTTTTTGAGACGGAGTTTCGCTCTTGTTACCCAGGCTGGAGTGCAATGGCGAGATCTCGGCTCACCGCAACCTCCGCCTCCTGGGTTCAGGCAATTCTCCTGCCTCAGCCTCCTGAGGAGCTGGGATTACAGGCACACGCCACGACGCCCACTTAATTTTTTGTATTTTTAGTAGAGACGGGGTTTCACCATGTTGACCAGGATGGTCTCGATCTCTTGACCTCGTGATCCACCCGCCTCGGCCTCCCAAAGTGCTGGGATTACAGGCGTGAGCCACCGTGCCCGGCCTGTGTGCTACTCTTTTATTGGCTACTTGTGTTGCCAGCATCACTCCTTTTAAACATATTTCTATGTGGCCTGTATGTTTCTTTTCCAAACCTTCATGGTCATTTTGTTTTCTATTTTTTTTCTTTTCTTTTCTTTTCTTTTCTTTTGCAGGCACTTAGGGCATACATGGTCATTTTTATCTTTTATTCCTTGCTCAGATTATTAGTACCCTCTTTTAGTTCTTTAAACTTGTGGAAATGGTTTCAAAAATGCTTGAACTGAAAATTTGTCATTGGATAATTTATTCTACAGATGAACTTGTACACATGCTAAATGATATATGAATGTTTATTCATATAGTTCCTATTGTCTACAATATTTTTTTTTTTTTTTGAGATGGAGTTTCGCTCTTGTTACCCAGGCTGGAGTGCAATGGCGCGATCTCGGCTCACCGCAACCTCCGCCTCCTGGGTTCAGGCAATTCTCCTGCCTCAGCCTCCTGAGTAGCTGGGATTACAGGCACACGCCACCATGCCCAGCTTTGTCTACAATATTAATATGGAAAAATCTGTAACTGTCATATCTACCATCACCACTTCTATGAAGAAACCCGGTCTCCAGGAGTGAGGATGGGGAGGGTAGAATTATGAGCGTCACCAAGGGATCACTGGCGCGCTGTGGTGTGAGGGTGTGGGGAGGTGTCTGCGGATCTTTGGTGGTCTTAAGTGTGTCTGGAGATATTTGGGGGTTTCCAGTGGCCTTAGGGGTGTCCGCTTTTGGTGGCATCTGGGAGGTTTGAGGTCCACGGAGATTCCCAGGCTGGGAGTCCCTGGCTCGACCGACGCTGACGACCTCTTTTCCCCCACCTCATTTTCCCCGCAGGAGCCCCGCGGCCTAAGCGCAGCGTCGCCGCCCCTGGCTGAGACTGGCGCTCCCCGCCGCTTCCGGCGGTCAGTGCCCCGAGGCGAGGCGGCGGGGGCGGTGCAGGAGCTGGCGAGGGCACTGGCGCATCTGCTGGAGGCCGAACGGCAAGAGCGGGCGCGGGCCGAGGCGCAGGAGGCTGAAGATCAGCAGGCGCGCGTCCTGGCGCAGATGCTGCGCGTCTGGGGCGCCCCCCGAAACTCTGACCCGACTCTGGGCCTGGACGACGACCCGGACGCGCCGGCAGCTCAGCTCGCCCGCGCCCTGCTCCGCGCCCGCCTTGACCCTGCAGCCCTCGCAGCCCAGCTTGTGCCGGCGCCCGTCCCCGCTGCGGCGCTCCGATCCCGGCCCCCGGTCTACGACGACGGCCCCGCGGGCCCGGATGCCGAGGACGCCGGGGACGAGACACCCGACGTGGACCCTGAGCTGCTGAGGTGCCCGGCAGGGTTTGGGGAGGGATCGGGCGCCTGTGTCACAGGAGAACGAGGGCGAGGAACTGGGACGCCTGCATCCCTCGTGGAGTGCGAACCCCTAAGTCCTGGGGCCCTAGGAGTGAGGTCCTGGCCCCATGGAGTAGGGGCAAGGATGCCTGGCCCCGGGGGAGGGGACGGGGAACGCCCCACAGCGGACACAGCCTCACTGCATTGCGCTTGGCCCTGCAGGTACTTGCTGGGACGGATTCTTGCAGGTAGCGCGGACTCCGAGGGGGTGGCAGCCCCGCGCCGCTTCCGCCGCGCTGCTGACCAGGATGTGGGCTCCGAGGTGCCCCCTGAAGGCGTTCTGGGGGCGCTGCTGCGCGTGAAACGTCTAGAGACCCCGGCTCCCCAGATGCCTGCACGCCGCCTCTTGCCACCCTGAGCACAGCCCGGATCCCGTCCACCGTGGGACCCAGGAGTGCCCCCGCCATCCCACCACCCGCACCGCTCCCCGCCAGCACGTTCAGAGCAACTTTCCCCGGCCAGCCAAGCCCTCCCACCCGAGGATCCCTACCCCCTGGCCCCACAATAAACATGATCTGAAGCAGCTCTGTGCTTGTCTGTGTTAGTGGCAGTTTCTAGGGGCCAGTGGTGCCCTTGGTGGTGGTGGCCCTTTGACTACGCGAGAGGAGCCCCTACCCTGGGTCCTGCACTTTAGAACTATCACCTGCTCAGTCTATGCCTCTCCTAGGGGTGGAGGGGAAGGCATCCACATGGACAATGGCAGTGCGCATGCAGATCTTGTGTCCCCCTTTTAGACCTCACTTGGGTATGGGGATCCCAGGCTTTGAGGCCGCTTTCAGGGCCTGCACCATCATCTTCCAAGGGTCCATCCTCCTGAGGGCCAAGGGGTGGCTTTGTGAGTCACATGAGTAGAGCTTGAGGTGCTGGCTAAGATGTGGCAGGCACACGTGAGCACCTCCTGATGCGGGGGAGAGAAAGGGAGGGGGGCTGAGCACTGGGGGGGGTCGGGAGGTCCCTATACAGGCACACCCTGGCAGACAGGCACATTCTGGCGGGGAACTCTGAGAAGGCTGAGAAATTGGAGCCTGAGCATCCAGGTCACTAACAGTGTATTTGCCAAAGTGGGAGGATAGGGTGTATTCATTTACTTTGTAAAATCTGACTAGTAATGTCTAAATGTTCACATATTTAGTCTTATAGTATAGAGGCCTACCTGTACTCTTGCCCAAGCCCTGGAGATACTGAGGGTTGTTATGGTGGCAGCTGACTTATGGCCATGGGCTTTGCACTGGCCAGTCCCTCTGCCCCGGATATCTCCAAGTTTTTGTCCAGATGTCATCTACTCTCAAGAAGGCTTTCCTTGACCTGTCACCCTATTCCTTCACCTGCCTTTAATACATAGCCTCTATGACTGTCTAGCATGATGTCATATCTATAAGGTCAGGTTTTTAAGTGTCTTGTTTGTCTCTACCTCCTTCGTATCCAAAGTGGAGCCTGTCACACAGTGGGCTCCCCCTGAATTTCTTGAATGAAAGAATTCTCACAACTCAAGTAACATTCTACCCAGTCTCACTCCCACCCACGTAACACTTGGAACGGAGGCAGCTTTGAAACCCAAAACACCGTTTATTTAAATTTGCACAAAATCCCTCAACTTGACATAACAAATGCAACACTAGGTACTCCTGTGTTACCAAAAAGCCCCTCACCAAGTGAAAACAAAAGAGGTGTCCATCTTCCCCTAGTATATGGAATATGTCCCTCAAAGCTAGTTGCTTCAGGGGTCTCAAGTCAAGCAATCATCCTGGCCTGGGGAGGGTCTACATTTCTTGGCCAAGACCTTCAGGCCACAGTGCAGCCACAGTGGCAGGTGGCCTTCTGGTGCCGGGTCTTCACACAGGACCTTGCCCTGGTCTCTTCCGCCATGGCCTCCTTGACTCTCTGGATCTCACGGACCAGCAGGGAAAAGGCCTCCTCCACACCTTGCCGTGTTTTGGCTGAGGTCTCCACAAAGTGGGCACCCCAGCTGTGTGCGAGGGCTGCGGCAGCAGCATGAGCATCTCCAGCAGTGGTCACAAGGTCACACTTGTTGCCCACAAGGACAAGGGGCTGGGCAGGGTGAGGGCCCCAGGCGGCCAATATCTGCTGTAGCTGGATCAGAGATGAGGAGTCATCAAGAGCAAAGACGCCCAGCACACCATCACCGTCAGCCAGGCACTGGTCACGCAGGGCCCTGTGGATGTTCTGCCCTGCTGTGTCCAGCACGTTCAGAGCGCAGTCCCCGCTGTCCAGGGCAAACTCCTTCCAGTAGGAATCCTTGATGGTGGGGTCGTGTTCCTCCACGAAGCACTGGTGGGTCAGCTGGATGGTCAGCGCACTCTTGCCCACGCCACTCGCGCCCACCACCACTGCCTTGTACTTAGGCAGCTGCCTGCCAACGTCCCTGCAGCGTGCCTGAGCCCAGTGGTTTCCCCCTTGGAAGGTAGGGCTCCATGTGGTCAGGCCCAGGTCGAAAGTGTCAAGCTTTGTTGGCAGCTCCATGCCCCCAGCAGGCAGCTCAGGGTAGAGGTGTGGGCAGCAGTTTCTGCAAGTGGGAAGAGAAGCAGCAAGACAATCAGGGAAACCTTAGGGGAGACCACCTGAGGGCAAGGATACAGTGAGGTGTCATTATTTCAACATTTACTGAGTGCCTACTGTATGCTGATCACCTTCCAATTTGCATGCTATATATACACGATTTATGCTGTTTTTCTCTTCCCCTCCACCCCACCTCCCCCTGTCTCTCCGCCCCTCCTCACTCAAACAGACAATTGTGAAGGCTGGATTTCTCAAACAGCTTTATTGAGATGCAATTTACATCCCATCAAATTCAGCCAGCTAGAATGTCCAATTTAACGGGTTTTAGCACATTCACTATGTTGTGCAACTATCACCATAACTAAATTTTAGAACGTTTTCCTCACCCCAAAGAGAATCCCCATGCCCATTAACAGTTCCTCCCCATGGCGGAGGGAGGGCAGGATTTTGCCGGTTTTGGTCACCTTTGAATCCCAGCCCAGCACAGTGCCTGCCAGACAGTAGGGACTCAACATTACCACCCCAGAAGGTTTATGTTCTAAAAGGCAGAGGCAGATAATACAATAAACCAAATAAATATGTAAATCATGTGGTCTGCTAGCCATTATCATTAGAATGTAGTCTTTATTAATTATTCAATATATATTTATTGGGAACCTACTATGTGGCAAGGACACGGAGGTGGGCAATAAACAACAAACTGTAGCCCCCATGAAGGTTATATCCTGGTCGGGGTGTGAGATAACAAACTAGATAAAAAAGTGGGCTGGGCACGGTGGGTCACCCCTGTAATCCCAGCACTTTTTTTTTTTTTTTTTTTTGAGACGGAGTTTCGCTCTTGTTACCCAGGCTGGAGTGCAATGGCGCGATCTCGGCTCACCGCAACCTCCGCCTCCCGGGTTCAGGCAATTCTCCTGCCTCAGCCTCCTGAGTAGCTGGGATTACAGGCACACGCCACCATGCCCAGCTAATGTTTTGTATTTTTAGTAGAGACGGGGTTTCACTATGTTGACCAGGACGGTCTCGATCTCTTGACCTCGTGATCCACCCGCCTCAGCCTCCCAAAGTGCTGGGATTACAGGCTTGAGCCACCGCGCCCGGTTAATCCCAGCACTTTGGGAGGCCGAGGTGGGCAGATCTTTTGAGGTCAGGAGTTCGAGATCAGCCTGCCTAACATGGCGAAACCCCATCTCTACTGAAAATACAAAAATTGGCCGGATGTGGTTGTGGGTACCTGTAATCCCAGCTACTCAGGAGGCTGAGGCAGGAGAGACGCTTGAACCCAGGAGGCAAAGGTTGCAGTGAGCTGAGATCCCACCACTTCACTCCGGCCTGGATGACCAGAGTGAAACTGTCTCAAAAAAATAAAAGAAAGAAAAAAAAAGTGAACTCTATGTTAGTAGTGGGTGATAAGCATGCGGAAGGTGCTCAGGTCATGCCAGGTTTTTAAATTATACTTTTTTTTTTTCTGAGACGGAGTTTCGCTCTTTTTACCCAAGCTGGAGTGCGATGGCGTGATCTCGGCTTACCGCAACCTCCGCCTCCTGGGTTCAAGCAATTCTCCTGCCTCAGCCTCCCGAGTAGCTGGGACTACAGGCATGTACCACCATGCCTAGCTAATTTTTGTATTTTTAGTAGAGACGGGGTTTCACCATGTTGACCAGGATGGTCTCGATCTCTTGACCTAGTGATCCACCCACCTCGGCCTCCCAAAGTGCTGGGATTATAGGCGTGTGCCACTGCGCCCAGCCCTTAAATTATAATTTAATCTTCATTCATTAATTCAAGAATTTTCTTTCGTGCCAGGCATTGTGCTATGGTAGTAAACAAAACAGACTCAAGAACCTGCCCTTGTGAGGATTACATTCTGGCAGAGAGAAACACAGTAACAAGGTAAGGAACAAAGAAGTTGCATGTTTGAAGAGGATGGGCACACAGCAGGTGGTCAATTAGTGTTAGTTATTAGTAGCACAACCCCATTCACTCAGTGAATGCACCTTGGTGTCCTAGGGCTCAGGAAGTGCTCTGCTTAGTGCAACCTAATGGCTGTTGCCACGTCTCCCCTCCTAAAGCCTAGAGCAGCGGCAGTTTGGGGGCAGATGGTGGTTTCGAGATTTGGTGGAGTTGGAGATCCGGAGGTCGGGTGGGGGTAAGGACCCAAATAGGGATGCGGCTGAGGCGTCCTCAAGCTCTAAGGTATCCCTGGGAATGGTCACTGGCGGCGCTGGCCCAGAAGGAGGGGTGGGGACGGGATGAGGAGAGCAGGAAGCGGAGGACAGAGCTTTGGGGGTCTGTCCTCCTCAGATGCCTGGAGGACTGGGGGAGGGGCAAGGCGGCGGCACAAGGGGAGGGGCGAGGCGGCAGCGCACGTGGAGGGAGAGTTATGCTCCTGGGGGTCCTGTAGGAGTGTCGGCTATCTTTTTTTGTTTGTTTGTTTGTTTGTGAGACGGAGTCTCACTCGCTCTGTCTTCCATGCTGGAGTGCAGTGGCGCCATCTCGGCTCACAGCAACCTCTGCCTCCCGGGTTCAAGCGATTCTCCTGCCTCAGCCTCCGGAGTAGCTGGGACTACAAGCACGCACCACCATGCCTGGATAATTTTTGTATTTTTAATAGAGATGGGGCTTTACCATGTTGGTCAGGCTGGTGATCTGCCCACCTCAGCCCTCAAAGTGCTGGGATTACAGGCGTGAGCCACCGCGCCTGGCCAGTGCCCGGCCATGTTTAGGGATAGGTCAGGAGGCAGAGGCGGGTTTGAGGCTGCCTCCTAAGTCGGGGTCCGAGCGGCTGGAGTCTGGGGTTACCAACGGTGAGGAAGGGGAACCCTGGACTGGACCAAGCGGCCAAGCGCAGCTTCCACCCCAGGTTCCCCGTGGGTCGGGGCCACACTGGCCCAGTCCCCGCGACGCGTGGGGCGACCACGGCCCTGGTCCCCACAGCCTGGCTGTCGGGGAGGAGCCGCGAGGCGCAGAGGCGCGTGCCGAGGGGACCGGCCGGGGGTCCCGGCTCCTCTCAGTCCTTTCAAGTGGCATGGAGCCTCTGGCAGGTCCCGGTGGCCGCGTGCTCGGAGCCGCCGGGACCAGGTTATGGGGGTTTGCCCAGCTCACCAAGGCCGGCGCGCTGAGGGGTCGGGACCCGGGGTCAGGTTGGCCTCACCAGGTCGCGCTTTCCCCGACGAGGCCAGGTGAGGTGCAAAACTCACGAGTGCAGAGGGGTCCCTGAAACCAGGCCTCCACTTCGGGCTCGGGGCTCGGTGTGAGCAGCATAGCCTGGGCGTCCTGTGGAGACCCATCTCTACTCCGGGTGAGGCGGCCCCGCTTCCAGCCCAGGGCAGACATGCTTTAGGAGCCGCTCACCTGAAGGCTTGGCGCTTGGGGGAGTGTCCCCCAAAGCCGGCGTGGGGAGACTCCCAGACCTGGTGGGGCCGGGGTATGGGCGCTCCGCTCACCTGTGTCCGTGAGGAGGATGGTGCGCTGGGACGCTCTGACAGGCCTGGCGGGGACGCTGCTGCTCTCCGGGGGCCCCCAGGCGGCGGATAGGGGAGTGGCCTAGTGCAGCCGCCCTCCCTCAGCTCCTCAGGCCGGCCCCCCACAACGAGGCGACCCTGCCCCCTGGGAGAACACGAGGTCGTGCCCCAAAGGTGGCTTGCGTGCAGACAAGTGGATGCCACAGCGGCTTCTAGGGGTGCGCAGACGGCGGCCACACCTCACTGTGTCCCCTGCAGCGCCTCCTGTCGGGGGTGTGTGTGTGTGTGTGTGTGTGTGTGTGTGTGTGTGGAGGTGGCAGTGGGGGTGAGATTTTGACCAGGATGGCGAAGCTCTTGAGGCTGTGCCGCCTCAGCTCTGTTTTTTGGTAGGCCTCAGCTGTTTTTTGGAAGCTTGGGAGAAAAGAGGACACTGACAGAGAGAAAGGGTCGTTCTGTCGGGGAAGAGAGCCCCTGATCAGAGGCTGCTGCCTGTCAAGCTACACATTTCCCAGGCTCCCTTGCAGCTATGGCAACCACAAGCACAGTCCTGACCAACGAGAGGGCAGCAGAGGTTGTGGGTGGGGTATCTAGAGGGCTCTTAATACAGGGCAGCCCCAGCCCTTTCCCATCCCTCCTCTTCTTGACTGGGTGGGGCTGTGTGGTCAGCTTGGGATCATAAGGTGGCCATGAAGAAAAGTCCTGGAAACCTCAGCCCCCACCCTCTTGAGCTGCCAAAGCAATTCTCACCACATGGGAGAAATCCAACTCCCAGACTGTCCTCCAATTTCCCACCTCTGGTCAATGGCAGGCACCCCTTCTGCCAAGAAGCTACCATGACCACCACATTCAAGTTAAACCTGGACCTCCCCACATCCCCAGTCAGGCAAATGACACAGGTGGGAAAACAGGTCTGGTGAGGATACTTCCTACTAGTTTTCTGGCCTTCTCAGCCTAGGGTGTGGGTGTGGCTGGGACTGGCTGTAAGGCCCCTATTTCTAAGGCAAGCACCCACTTTCTCATGGATTCTACCATTTCATCGCCAGTGGAGCCAGTCAAGATGGCTGCTCTATTTTCAGTTAGTTTTTTGGGGGCAACGGCTGGTTAGGGGATTGACCTGATGGAGACCCACTCCCTCATATCTTCATTATTCATCGGCTCTGCTGGCCAGGGATGTAGAGTTCTCCACCTGCTCAAAGTCAAAAGGCTTTCTCCAGGTTTTGTAACAGCTTGTACTTTATTATATATGCAACCTTGCCATGCCTGCCAGTTAACTCCCCTCCCGCCAATGTTATCCTCGTGATATCAGCTCCCTCGTGGGGCCACTGAGCTGTCCCCCTTTCCTTATGGGCTGGAGTAGTGGTGCCCCTCAAGCAGGCAATAGGCAGGGGGAGATCCACAATCATCGCAGTTCTCTTAAACATATTAACACTTAAATAAGCACTCTTGGGGAGATGCAAAGGATATTCAAGATGGGATGCAGTGGGAGGCTACCCCTCATCCAAGGTACAGACTGGAAAGAGCTACAGCTGGTCTATTGTGGGCCTCAGAAGGTGAAGAGGGAGCGTATTCTGGGGCTTAGTATGGGTGGGGCATATCCTCCCCAAACTTGTTCTGGTGGGCGATGTTCTTCACATCTAGGAGGGCCTGAGGAGGAGACAAAAATAGGGCAGGTGAGAGAGAGTAAGGACCCCTCTACCTGAGCTGCAAGACTGCCCCGACTCCAGCCCTCAACCACTCGGTCTTCTGGACTATCCCACAGCCCCCGCCCCACACAAAATAATCACACGAGGCAGCCATGCAGAGGGGTCTGTGGTCTCCCTTTACGCAATCACAGAAGGAGTGTGTGTGAGTGGGGTGAGTGTGCACGTGTTGAAGGGTCTACCCAGGGCTCACCTGGTGGTGGACATAGGCCTGACAGTAGTAACACCAGGTCGACAGGTCGACGTAGCTGAGGACCAGTGGGTGTCCAGAGTTTCCATGGTGTCGGAGCATGTGGGCATTGATGTAACGACCACAGTAGACCTGAGTTTGCGGGTGTATCAGGTGGGGGTCAGCACCCCCCTGCAGTTTGCTCCTAGGCCAACCTCCGCCCCATCCCCTTCCTCTGCTCTGTACCTGATAGCAAGAGAGACACACCCAATTCTCTTGGATTGTTCCACAGTCCCCACAAGGTTGGGTCACGTCCAGGCCTGCTGCAGGTATGGGGCATACTGCCACCAAATGGGGACACCAGGGCAGTGGTGTCACAGCATAAAATATGGCCTGGAGTGGGTGGGCAAAACTGAGTGAGCTGAGGACCCCATCTCCTCATTATATGTTTATACATCACATGCTCCTACCTGGAGACACAAATGGGCCAGAGAAGGAAGCCAAAGTTCCAGCCTCTCCCTGAGCTCACCTGATCAGTGAGGCCCTTAGATCCCTGCATCAGCATCGAATCAGCCATGTCCTGACCTCCAGCTGCCTCTCCTAGTAGGTTCTCCTCTCCTGGGGCTTGAGATTCTAGGGCCCCCTGGACATGCAGAAGAGATGTATCAGAGAAGTCAGATTCTTGCCCCTTCTTGCCCCTACCTGGGTGTGGTGGGCCTTACCTGAGATTCGCTGCCTAGCTCCAAGGTCCTGAGACTCCCAATCAGTGTACTGGGAGGTATCTGGGGTGTAGTTCCCTGCACAGGTGACGTTGGGGGCCTCTGGTGGTCTGTGCTCAAGGTTAGAGGAGTTTGGATCAGCTCGGTGCCCCCTAGAGCTTCCTCTGACGTAGTCTGGTCCAGTGTGGCTCCCTCCATGGCTGCCTCTGAGGTGGTCTGGGCCAGTGTAGCTCCTCCTACAGCCTCTGAGGTAGTCTGGGCCAGAGTGGCTCCCCTAACAGCATCCTCTGAGGTGGTCTGGTCCAGAGTGGCTCCTCCCACAGTTTCCTCTGAGGTGGTGTGGTCCGGAGTGGCTCCCCCGACAGCCTCCTCTGAGGTGGTCTGGCCCAGCATGGCTCCCCCAATGGCTGCCTTGGAGATGGTCTGGGCCGGTGTGGCTCCCCCCATGGCTGCCTCTGAGGACTGGTCCTGAGTGACTGCCACCACAGCTGTCTCTGACTTAATCTGGTCTGCAGTGGACTCTTCCCTAGACAGCGAGATGGCCTTCCCCATGCTTGCTTCCAGAACCTTCTTTTCTCGTGTGAGCATCTGCTCAGCTAACGTAGGTTTGGCTGGTTGGGGTGCCTTCTTGGTGATCAGCTTAGAACTGGAGGGTCCCTCTTTGTCTTCTACCTCTGGAACCAGGAAGGAGATCCTTGAGTGTGGGTGCTGTCCCCCTTCCTGCCTCTAATCCCTGTTCCCCAGCCCCCTCCTTCCCCGAGTTCCCCCCATGGTCCCCAGTTCCACTCACTCATGACCCGTAAGCTGCGCCAGTATCTGCGATGGACTTGGATGGTCTCAGTGATTGAGGCCAGGGCCCCTGATAGTGGGGGCCGTGGCAGGGTCAGCAGGGGTGGTGGGTCTCCAAGGAGGGAGCGAGTGCAGGCAGCCATGGACTCTGAGATGGATGTCAGGTTATAGCCACCCTTTGTTAAGGACAAGAGAAGGGAAAGGCATGGTGGGGGTTCACTGAGGAATCTGGAAAGCAACATGTCCTGCCTTGCCAATCCTCCCAACTGAGCCCTGCAAGTCTGGAGAGGGAGTGGGGAGTACTGGGAACAAGTGAACAGAACCCACACCTGTAAGATGGGCGGCACCCGCTGTGTAAGGTGGTTGTTGTGGGGAGTAAATTGTGATGTAAAGTGCAAGATAACAATACTGATAAAACCATTAGTAATAGCTGACATTATTTATTAAGTGTTTGCTCTGTGCCAGACCCGATTTTAAGTACTTCATGCATATTAACTCAATCCTCACAACCACAGGCGCTCAATCTATACCAGAACTTGCCTTCATGCCATACAGAAATCCGTCTTCACACTATCCAGGAACCCCTGGCCTCACATCATACAGTAATCACTGATCTGACCTGCATGAGATGCTTGCTGTGAACCCATACAAAAGCCCGTGCCCCAATCTAGTATAGGAACAACTGACTCTCTCTCCATATGGACTCCTGTTCTGACTTTCTTTACACTCTAGAGGAATCCCAGTTGCTATTCTTTTTACAGACAAAATGAGGCAAAAGGCTGGACGCAGTGGCTTATGCCTGTAATCCCAGTACTTTGGGAGGCTGAGGAGGGCAGATTGCCTGAGGTCAGGAGTTCGAGACCAGCCTGGCCAACATGGTGAAACCCTGTCTCTACTGAAAATACAAGAAACTTAGCTGGGTGTGGTGGTGTGCACCTGTAATCCCAGCTACTCCGGAGGCTGAGGCAGGGGAATTGCTTGAACCAGGGAGGTGGAGGTTGCAGTGAGGTGAGATCGCACTATTGCACTGCAGCCTGGGTGACAGAGCGAGACTCCATCTCAAAAAAAAAAAAAAAAAAAAACCAAAAAACTGAGGCTTGGAGTGGCTAGATGACTTGTCTGAGGTCCTAACAGCTGAGAGGCAGCATTGGGGTTTGAACTTTGGCTCTCTGATGGGAGTCATCTGTGTTTTTAACTCCCACCATGCCCTGTCACAAACAGTACTGGGCACACAGTAAGTGGGATTTTTTGCAAGCCACTTAATTTCTCTGTGACTTATTTTCCTCATCTGTAAAGCAGTGAAAATAATAGCACAGGAGGTTGCTGAGCAGGTTAGTATCTGAACAATGCATAACAGTAACCAGGGGCCAGGTGTGGTGGCTCACACTTGTAATTCCAGCATTCTGCAAGGCTGAGGTGGGTGGATTTATTGAGGCCAGGAGCTCAAGACCAGCCTGGCCAACATTGTGAAACCCCATCTCTACTAAAAATACAAAAACTAGCCAGGCGTGGTGGTGAGTACCTGTAATCCCAGCTACTCAGGAGGCTGAGGTGGGGGGATCATTTGAACCTGGGAGGTGGAGGCTGCAGTGAGTTGAGATTGTGCCATTGCACTCCAGCCTGGGTGACAGAGCGAGACTCTGCCTCGATAAAAAAAAAAAAAAAAAAAAGAAAAAAACAGATCTAC